GAATGATAACAGATGCAAGGTTGGTCTGTGGCTAAAGCAAGGTGTCTTGGGTGTCTTGGAGGGCTCATACTCTCTGCAAGGGAAGAGGAGTAGGAGAGGCGGTCAGAGACATGTTGGGGGAAGGGATCAGATTGCATGAAACATGTGCCAGCTTGAGGAGGACTTTTCAGGTTATTGCAAAGATTTGGCTTTTACCACGATGGGAAGTCACTGGAGGTTTTGGAACAGAGACGAGACATATACTTAGAAGGGGCACTGTGCCTGCTGTGTTGAGAGGAGACAGAAGAGGGGTAAGACAGAGGGTGGGAGGCCAGCTGGGAAGCTCTTGCAACAATTCAGGTGAAAGCAGGTAGTGACCTGGACCTGGTTAGTAACACTGGAGATGGAGAAGAAAATCTGGTCAGAATTTGGATGTGAAGGAAGAAGAAAAAGGGTTTGCCAATGAGCTGGAAGTGGGACATGAGGCAGAGAGGAGACAAGGGAAAGTCTTAGAACTTTGTCCTTAGAAACTGGAAGGTTGGAATAAATATTTACTCAGGTAGAGAAAACTGAGGAGGAGTTAGATTTGGTTTCAAATCAGTTTCGGTTTTGTTCATGTCAGGGTTGAGATTATACGACTAGAGTTCAGGGTTTTGAGCTCTAGTTCAGTTCTACTTTATGTTGAAGATAAAAATTTGAAACTCATCTTAAGGTATGAGACTGCGTGAGATCTTTATGGGAATGTGCTGGATAGAGGAGAAAAAAGGCTAAGAATTAAATAGGCACACCAACGATCAGAGGTCAGGCAGATGAGGAGGAACCAGCAAAGCTGATGAGTGGAAAACAAGGAGAATGTGGTGTTTGCGAGCCAAGGGCTGCAGTTATTGGCAATGGCAGGGTCTATGTATGACCATGTGAGCGGATGGCTGAGGTGGGACGGAGGAAAAGGTCATTGGAGCTAAGGAGGAAAAGGAGCTGAGTCTCGGGATGTTGGTTGACTCCGAAGTCAATGATGGGGCTTATGGTAAGAGGGAGGCAGTAAGTTATAAGCTGGCATTACCCACGACTCCATGAACCAGGAGGCAGCCAGCACACAGCAATGAGAGGCTTGTGAGGCTGTATAGTTTGGTGATTAGCTTCAAGAAAGCTGAGGTTTTTCAAGGAGAAGGTCAGACATCTGAGAAGTTATAAGGGGATACCAGATGAGTATTTACCCCTCTGCCAGCCTTCAGGTGCTTGGGGAAGAGGAGAGATAGTGTTTAGCTGAGAGGGCTGCTGGAAGTAGAATCCTTGGAGGACAGCCTGGCTTCCCTGGGCAGGAAGATACATTTTTAAAAATTTTATTTTTATTTTAAAATTGTGTGGGTACATAGTAGATATATATATTTATGGGGTAATGAGATATTTTGATACAGGAATGTAATGCGTAATAATCACATCAGAGCAAATGGGGTATCCATCCCTCAGGCATTTATGGTTTCTTTGTGTTATAAACAATCCAGTTATACTCTTTTAGTTATTTAAAAATGTGTGATAAATTATTGTTGACTGTAGTCATCCTGTGTTATCAAATCCTCGACCTTATTCATTCCATCTGACTACGTTTTTTTGTACCTATTAACCATTCCCACCCCCTGCTCCACTATACTTCCCAGCCTCTGTAACTATCATTCTGTCTCCCTGGATTCAGTTGTTTTAAGTTTTAGCTCCTATGAATGAGTGAGGACATGTGAAATTTGTCTTTATGTGTCTGGCTTATTTCACTTAATATAATGTCCTCCAGTTCCATCATGTTGTAGAAACTGCATACATTTAGAATGTATAGGAAGATACATTTAGAAGTGGAAAAGGTATAGGAGAGTTTGCTGATCAGTGAGTTCCTCAGGGTGCCATGTCAATGCTTGGGAAGAGAGGAGGGTTTGTGTTAGATTAGCTAATACCTGCCTGGTGACACAGGTTAAAGTGTGTGTTGGGAGAGTGGGTAGCGGGAAGGAGCCACAAATGGCTGGTATTGGTATGAGGCATTTGGGATTAGTCCAGAGCAGTGCAGGGCAAGATCTCTAGGCAGCTGGTTTAGCCTGAGGCTGGAGACGTCATGGCAGGAGGAAGACAAGATGATTGAAGACCCTCCTGACGCTGGTCACACCCATGGGTAGGGTGGCGGAGAGTAGAGTAAATCTCTATGATAGCTAATTATAATATTGCTATAGTCATCACGGTTGAGGGAAATGTATCAGCAAGTAGGCCAAAGACTGAGAGACGTTTATCTGCAACTAGGCCAAAGATGGATGAATTGCTTTTTGTCGCCACCCACTGACTATCCTAATAAGTGTTGACAAACATGAACCAAAGTTTTGCTGATAAAAAAGAGATTTTCAGGGAAACCTGGAGAAAGAAAGGGGTGAGCCTTTTACTAACTTCAGGAAATGGCCAGACCACCCTTGCCTTTAGTTTTCATGGTAATTGTTGGCCAGTGAAGTAGAGCTGCCCTGGGCTTCTGCGTCTGTCCCATCTCGGTCAAGGGTCTACTGAGCAGGAAGATTCTAAAGGCTCATTTGACAACAAAAGGTTGGGATGGCCGAGTTGCTTTCTTTCTGTTTCTTTCCATTTACTTTCATTTTCAAGGCTTGTTCACTGTGGCTGTAGGACTCTATTGCTTATGAAGGGCGAAGGGGTCTGTCTCTGTATTCATCATGTGAGTTTGCCTAAGGGCCCCTGGTCTGGCTGTTAGGAGATAGGACCTAGTTCTGACTCTTTTACTTACCTCCCTTGTGACCTAAACCAGGTCACTCATCCTCTCTAGACCTCAAGCTCTTCATCTGAAATCCTTTTCACCTCTCACAGCCTATTCCTTGAAGTTTCTTGAGTCAGCAGAAAGTGAAAGTAGAATCTGCAATGTCTTGGTACAGACTGAGGAGAGAGCCCAGGATTTTGATTCAGAGTAAGAAACTCGTTATTCACTCTAGGGTTAATCACTTTACAGCAACTTGACTAAGTGACATCGCTTCTCCAAATCCATTTAAAAATTGTATAAAACAGGTTGATATTTGTATCTTTCTTGGCTTCTTAAGAGAGACTTTGGTACTATATATACGGTTATTAGTAAGGACAAATATGGAAATGATAAAGATGCTTCCAGAATTCTTACAGGTACCGTTAACTAGCATAATATCTTTGATTGTTGATTGAATCGTCAGTCAATCGATCAGTAGTAAGCATCTATTTTTTTCTGTCAAAGTGTATTTATTGAGGGACAGGATTATGTTGGGGGACTGCAGATAAAGTAGAATAACATAGTAGTACCTCACAGCTGGGGTCACTGAAATGAGATAATTTGTCTAAGGTCATACACTACTAACAAGTAAGTTAGGATTTGAACCCTGATTTGTCTGCCCCAAGGTTAATGATCTTTCTAGTCAACCCCCAGCCCCTTCTCATATTTATATGTTAAGTAAGTGGCAGGCACTATGCTAGAAATTACTGTTGTACTGGCAGCATTTAGCACTGGAAATGGGATCTTATTTCAGCAAATCATTAGTTGTTCCATGAATTAAAACTGGCTGTATTATTTTGATTCTTGGCTTAGTCTTAGAGCCTAATGATAAGCTTTAGAAGCTGACATGACCAACTCCAGGGTCTTCAGTGAACAATCATTTTCTGCAATAAAATGAGCATCTCAGGTGGTCTTTTCTCAGTGGGTGTGTGGTATTCCACCTGTTCCTCTCTCTGATAGCCTGTGGGAACACGGAAGTTAAGGCGTGGAGTAAAAAGTCAGGGCAGCTAGAGAAAGTCTTGTCTGACCCAAATCTATCCTCATATGGGATATGTGGATACAAATATTCCACATAAATAATGTGCCGATCATTCACTACCTTTTTGCTTTTTAAGCGAACCAGAATTACTGTGATTCATACTGAAACACAGACACACATGTATCCATACACAAATCCACACTATCATCTGGCCAAATTACCAACTGCCCAACCTTTCTCGGACAGGTGTGGGAAGAGAAATGCAAAGAGTTTACTGCCTTGTAGAGAGTTCCCAACTGAAAAAGTCAATTAGTATAAATATAAGCTTCATGACCTCAAATTCATGGGGTTTATTTCAGGCAAAATTGTCTCTTTTTTATCATGTAAGAAAGTAGAAAACAGTACAGTGTATCCGTTTAGATTCTGGTGTCTGAGGTCTTTGTGAACTTGAAGGCTGATAAGGTGATAATGCATCTAAACATTTAACCCAAGGGCTGCCAGAGAGTAAAATTGTAATTAATATCTTTCACATTACTTTCTTGCATCTTCAAATAGAACAAATGTCTTAATGACGTGGAGTAAACCCACTTAAGAAATCAGTGTTTTCTACTAACTATGGAGTTTTGGGGACAAGCATTCATCTTTCTGTCTTCAGTGCCTAGAGTAGTGCCTGGCAGTGAATGATTTTTTTTTGTTATTTAATTTTCATTTCATAATCATAAACTTAACTCTGCAATCCAGCTAGGCATGGAAGAGAACAAGGAAAATATGGAACCTAAAGGCAATTGCAGTGAGCACTCAAAGATTCTAGGACACTGAATCAGATGGGGTGGAGGTCTGCTCTCCTGAGCTGCAGAAGGAATGGTTTGGTGGTTAAAATAAAACACAAGTCAAACTGAGTTGTCCACAGTCAGCGATGGTGACCTTCTTGCTGGCCTTGCCATTCCTGGTCCCAAAGTGCTCCATGGCCTCCACAATATTCATGCCTCCTTTCACCTTGCCAAAGACCACATGCTTGCCATCCAGACACCTCAGTCTTGGCAGTGCACATGAAAAACTGGGAACTGTTTGTGTTGGGTCCAGCATTTTCCATGGACAAGATGCCAGGACCTGTATGCTTCAGGATGAAGTTCTTGTCTTCAAATTTCTCCCTGTGGCTTGACTTGCCACCAGTGACATTATGGTGTGTGAAGTCACCACCCTGAGACATAAACCCCAAAATAATTCTGTGAAAGCGGGAACCCTTGTAACCAAATTCTTTCTTTCCAGTGCTTAGAGCGTGAATGTTTTCTGCTGTCTTTGGAAATTTGTCTGCAAACAGCTCAAAGGTGACATGGCCCATGGGCTCGCCGTCGATGGTGATGTGGAAGAACACAGTGAGGTTGACCATGGCTGGTAACATGGAGCTCCCAGTGGCACTGTCTGCAAAGCACTCAGTGAATGTTTGGAATAAGGTAGAGTCCCATTCCCTTAACCTTTCTACAACTATTTCCCACATTCGCTTTCCAGAGAAATTCCCAGACAAGTTAGGGAGGGATCCTATAGAGGAACATTTATTTCTCCAATTCCATTGGTAGTAGAAAATAACCTTGGACATAGATCTTAAATGAATTGGTATTTAATTGATCAATATCTGAGCCAAAATGCAAGTAGTAGCTCCAGTCTATATAGAGTTATCCAAATTAGATATAACCGTATTTGTTGTGCTGACATCCATGTTGTTAAGAACATGCATATATATGATACAGCTCAGATAACATAGGGAGAACAGTGGTTAAACTCTAAGACTCTTGGCTGCTCTAATGAGATAGGGAATGGGGAGTTGGGCTTGGAGGTGCTCATTATGTGAAAGATAATGTCTCTACTCAGCATCATAGAGCATCCATTTCAGCTGAAATCTCACTCTGGGAGTTCCTTTTCCATGCAAAATACAGAACACACACATTCAGAGAGATGCCTAGAGAGAGATGGGAAAGTTCTAAGCCTGTAACGGTGGGAAAAAAGAGGTATTTTCTAGCCATAAGTAACTGGCAGTGATGTCCAGTAGAGAGCATTAGAGCAAATCTTATGTTACAAATACAGTTGATAAGTAGACTGTCCTTTACCTGGACTTGAAGCTATTGCAGTCAGAGACTGAGAATTGCCTTCAAATCCTAATGAGCACCATGGTCAAGGAAGCTTTGAGGACTGAGAGCAGTAATGGGTACGCAAGAGCACTTCACATGAGCCTAAATGACAGATACAATAGAGGCCTTGGGTGGGAATCAGACAAGATTATTTCACAGATGCTTCAGATTTCCATTTACAGGAAACTGGGAACAATGATCAGAAGCCCACCATTCAGCCTTGCTGTATACACTGGGGCTCAAAACTTGGTAACTTACAGTTCTTATTTAATTGTATCAGTCTTTCCCCAACAATCCTATGCTTTAATTTTGTTTTCTTAAATTTTTGTTAAAGAACTGTCTGATCATGTAGGATAGTATTCTCAGGCTTAAATGCTGAAGTGTTTAGGGGTGAAGAGTCAGATGTTTGTAGATTATTATCAATTTGTACACACACAGAGAGAAAGCAAATATGATTGCCATCTTTTGAACTATAATTCTTCTTTTTTATATGTTAAAAAATTTCATACTAAAAAGGAGAAAGGGAAAACCATACCTAATATTGGAAGAGATAGACACCTACACTAAGTACACCTCACTTGTCTATTTTCATCAGGAATTGGCTACCAGCAGGGATCAATTCAAATTGGCAACAACTTTTATAGAACATTCCTCCTCAAAGGCTTATTTCTGCCAGTTCCATTCATTAATTCATTTATGTATTGTTGAAGGTCTACTATATACTGGGCACAATTCTAAGTCCTGGCTATATAGCAGGGAGCTTAATCCTGTGCACTTACATTAACTACTATTTAACAAAAAACCCTTTAGAGAAAATAAGTCTTCTGGAAGGTATATAGGTTTATTTTTTAATAATGTCTTCTTTTTAAAATAGCAGTTAAAAAATGTCCTTACTAAATTTATATATTACAAGAAAAAGGATTTGAGTTTCTCTGGAAAAGCATTTGTAAAATGTACTTTATTTCTCTCTTTATAGTTTTCTGGCTTCTATCATTTAAAATATTGCCCTGGGGAGATAGAAAGACCAAAAATTCAAACTCTATAGGAATCAGAGGCAGAAAATTAGGAAAAGTTGTTAGTTCAGTCTAATTCAAATGAGAAGGTACACAAAGGTTAGGCTGGTAATTATTTTAACCAGAATAATGAGAAAATCTGAGAGTAAAAATGAACCTATTTACATTTTATATAAAGCTTATAAAAAAAAATCCTTGTACTCAGGGGCTGAGTTGGGAGAATCACCTGAACCCAAGAGGTGGAGATTGCAGCCAGATCCCGCCACTGCAGTCCAGCATGGGTGACAGAAAGACTCTGTTTTAAAATAAACAAACAAACAAACAAAACCCATGCACAGAGATGCATAGTGTTTCTAGGCACATTTGTGGTATCCAGGGGAGGCTCTTCAGGGCAAGTTCATTTTTAGATACTAGTGTCTGTTTTTATCACTTACTCCTGAAGAGCAGCAATTCATAACACTTAATACCTGCCAATTTCGGCCTGCTGTAATGTCACTGCCCCAGGGTATACAATACCATTTCAAATGATGTCTTTGGTTTGCCAGATTTCATATGCCAAAGAACCTTCTAATGGTGCATCCTATCCTCCACACTGCCTTTTACACACTATTCCTATAGTGGGCCAGCCGCAGGTCTACTACTTACCATGAGCAGGAGGGTTTTAATAGCAGAATATGGGAAATAATGATTGCTATGTTGAGTTTATACGTTTTGTTTGAAAATAATGGGTTTTAGGTTAAATTGAGGCAGGTGTGCAAACGTTCTGGTAAAGTCCCTGCAACCTCCCTCCCTAACAGTAAACTATAAAAAGACTCTGATAATAGCGGTCACCAGCATCAATAATTGTAACAAGAGGCTGGAATATCAATCACAGGAAAGACAAGCATTTTGATAGCATTAATCAGAGCTGGTTTCCTCCTGCAAATCATGCCAAAGCTCTTGGATTGCTGCCTGTTCCCATTGTTTTCTGTCTGGTGGTTTGTATACAGATTCCTCCCCGCTTCCCCAGTGTGGCCATAATGAAATTGGGGAATTAACTCCAAGCAGAGTTATTCTAGTTTGGATGTGAAGGTAAACACAAATGGAGAAAGTTCAAATTTTTGAGAAGAACAAACAGCCCTTGTTACTAAACATTAGCTGGCAAATGCAATATACATGTACAATGGGCAGATATCATGGGTGATTTCTGATACTGGCCAAAAGGAAAGATGGTCACAGGCTATAAGGGCCTATGTGTAGTATCTGCAGAAAGAGTTTTCAGGTTTTGTCATTTTCAGCAGCCAAGGCAATATATTTAGTCTTTTGATTTTTAGTAACACTCTGCCATCACTAACAAAAAGAGAAGAGGGGAAACTTACGTGTTTGAATTTCTTCAGTGATCATCCTGCACTTAGTTCTATGCAATGCTTAGAGATTCCATGAGGACTGATCCAGTCGTTTTGCTTCTGCTTATTGCTCATTAGACCCTCCTCCAGATATTCAATCTGTACAGTTCTATTTACTTATTTTGGGTCCCAGTCAGACCAGTTACAAATTTCAGGCAAGAGCATGACTTGGAAATTTAAGCATTGCAAGATTGGAATTCTCCAAATCATAAATGGCTTAAATATTGCTTGATCAGGGATAATGATGTAATTTTACATTAAAAGAAGAATATGGTATAAGAGGGAGAACTTTTCAAAAAATCACACATCAGTAAAAGAAGATGAGTTAAAATAGAAAAATCTATCCATTCCATTGGAGCTTTCATTCCAGGTCTCTTTGTCAAAGTGATACTTCTTTTGGAGTCATTCAAAGGAGGTATTTTATTTTATTTTATTTTTTTGAGATGAAGTTTCACTCTGTCATCCAGGCTGGAGTACAGTGGTGCTATCTAGACTCACTGCAACCTCTGCCGCCCAGGTTCAAGTGATTCTCTTGCCTCAGCCTCCCAAGTAGCTGGAATTACAGGTGACTGCCACCATGCCTGGCTAATTTTTGTATTTTTAGTAGAGACGGGGTTTCACCATGTTGGCCAGCCTGGTCTTTATCTCCTGATCTCAGGTGATCCACCTCCTTAGCCTCCCAAAGTGCTGGGGTTAGAGGCATGAGCCACCGAGTCCAGTCCAAAGGAGGTATTTTTTAAAGTTGTTGAAGACAAAAAGCAAGAGCAAGGCCTTTTACCCCCACGCATATCAAGTATTATGTATAAATAATTGTAGAATTATATATCTTTCCATGGGATTAAAGCTATTGAAATGGGAAAAATCCATGTATCATAAGCACAAATGTATGTACATTTATATGCCTACACAAAACCAAAATACATGGTTGAAAAATGAGATTTAATAACTCAATCATTTTGATGAATATTTTTTTCACTGAATTGACTGATATTTTGTAGTGACTAGAATGAATTGTGATTTTGTATAGACATTTCATATACGAAACTGCTCCTTGAAAAGTTAATTGGTCTGGGTTTGCTGCAATGGACAACAACCTATGTTAGAGATACTGCACATGAACAAATCATTATTCTTTATAGCATATACTGACTAATTAATTTTCCAGGAAGCTATAAAAGTCCTAGATAATAATATTAACTAGTGGTAAAAGAAAATACGTTTGTCTCCAGCTACTGGGGAGGCTGAAGCAGGAGGATTGATTGAGCCCAGGAGGTCGAGGCTGCAGTAAACTGTGATTGTACCACTGCACTGCAGCCTGGGCAACAGAGTGAGACCCTGTTTCAAAAAAATGAAAAAAAAAGAAAGAAAAGAAAATGTGTTTAAATGTCAAATGTTCGAGTTTCTTATGCCATTTATTTCATAATAAGGAGCCTATGTTCTCTAAGTGCCAATAAATTATTGCCTTTAAAATGGAGTATATATTGGACAATAGCTCTTGACTTTGTTCATTGTTCTTTTCCACATTAACATGGCTGATCTTTAGATATGAAACACACACACACATTCTAGACAGACTTTTGAAAGAGTAAATTGTTATGAAAAAAATGTTGCCCCCAAATTATATTGACCTTAATTTGAAAAGACAAGGAAAATATGGAAAATGAAAGAAGAGGGAGAAATGGTTAATTTGGTTTATAATCCACAATGATAATAATATGTAATCTTGTGCTTCCAAGAAATTGTAGATTAAAATAATTAACATGGCTCATATATTAATATTAATTTTTTTTTCTCAGAGGGTCTCTTTGTCTCAGTGCCCAACATGGCTCCATCTTGACAGAGTTTCTTCTGTTGTCCTACTCGGGCAATCAGTGCCTCAGTGTCTTTGTTTGTCTGATGAGGTTCTGTTTTCTGAATGGCAAGTTTAGACTTCAAATCTTCCACCTGAATTATTGCAAGAGAGATTTGGTAATTAAGTTCTAACAAGATTTAAATGATATTAAAAACAGTCAGTTAAAAGGAAACACAGCCTTGGGCTTTGTTGTAAATTTGTATAATTATTTTTAGTCCTCTAGAGGATGCATAATTATGTTTCTGTATTTATAAAAATACTGCCTCGGAGGCACCAAAATGAATTTTACTGTACGTGAATTTGCATATTAATGTTACTCTTTGTGTGTCAAAATTTCTTTGGATAGATAAAAAGAGATTTTCTAAGGAAATTTTCAAAGTAATCATGAAGAGTGTAAAGTCTTTTGATTGGTGAGTCTGGAAAAACCACTGTTCAGGGAGAAAGTTTGACAGTCCAAGAGAAAAAAAGAAACTTAAGAAGGCAGACATATAACCTTAAACTTCAAGTTTCATTTTATCTTCACTTGGAATGGGATATGGTGGCACAGCCAGGAATAATACCCAATGACATTTATTGAGTACTTATTAAGTGCTAAGTGAGACCTGGTCACTTCCCCTGCTTCATGCAAGGATCATAGAGGTAGATGCTATTACTTATTTTACCCATTTCAAACATGGGAAAACCAAGGCACAGAGAGATTAAATTAACAGCTCCAGATCACACAGCTAGCATTTTAACCCAGGCAGTTTGATGCCAGTGCCTTAACCTCATGATTAATTAATAGTTGACTAATTTTCTGTATTGTTTCCTGAACAGAATCATAAGGAAGCACCATGGGCCTCTTTGTGCTGTGATGGAGAAACCATTTTCCCATGAAACCCACACGAGACGGCCGCTAGGTCGGAGTGCAATGCTGGAACACCACACAATCTTGGGGCATGGGCTCAGCTTTCCCTGCATGGACTCTCTTCACTATTTTACAAGCAAGTGAGCTCTCTGCATCAGATTTTAAGCTCCTCCAGAGCCAGAACTGTGTTCTTTGCTTCCTTCTATACTTCTCCCTCAGGGTTCAGACTTGGCCCGGCTGCTCATTGTAATGAAATCTGGGAGTGAATCTCAGGAAACACCCATGGTCTTTCTATGATAGGTTAATTTTTTTGTTTTTGTTTTTTTGTAAAATATACATAACATAAAATTTACCATTTCACCTATATTTAAGTATGCAGTTCAATGGCATGAAATACACTCATGTTACTGTGCAGTCATTACTACCATCCTCCTCCAGAACGCTTTGGTTTCTTCCCAAACTAAAACTTGGTATCCACTACATGTAACAACTCCCCATTCTCCTCTCCCCATAATTCCTGGCAACCACCGTTCTACTTCCTGTTTCTAGGAATCTGATGACTCTAGTGGAATGGTTAGTATTAAACTGAAGGTAATTTTTACTTGAGATGGGATCTCCAGTATTTTTTTGTGTGGGAGGGGCAATCTCCAGTACTTTTATGCAGGAGACAAGTTCTTCTGGTCTCTTGAACTGTGTTCTAACCATGGAAAGGAAATTGATGGAGCTAGGAAAGGTCAAGTGTGGCCAAGGGACAATTTCCCTTCCCCTGTCATTAGAGTGGGAGGATTAGAAGGATCGGTAATAGCCATTGACCCTGACAGCACAGTGAAGGGCAAGTGGGACACCATTGTGGAGACCACACAGGGAAGCCAAGGTGAAGGGCCATCTGGGGCCTGTTTCTGTAGTTAGTTGAGGCTGCCGTCGAGGCTCTGCTGGAAATAACTGGGAAGTGCTATGTGAGGGGCATTTCATCGTGAAATGGCTGCAGGGCCTTGTGCATCACCATCTGGGTTATGCATGGGCTTCTTCATTTCACGCTCCCAACAAAACTACCAGTTTGTTGGTTCATTGCTATCTTATAGGTGAGTGCAATGTGATTTTAAAAAAGAGGTCAGGAAACTTGCCCAAAGTTGCAGTTTGAAATGGCAGAGCAAAGATCTGAACCCAGATCTGACTCCAAACCACATGTTCTTCCTACTCTTGTCACTCTACTGCTTCTGGGGTTAATAAGGAGGCTGCGTGTATCCTGCCAACTTTTAAGGTCAAGGTGAGAACTAGAATATTGGCCTCTGAGAAACCTACCACATTGCTCTACAAGTCTACAGCTTTAAACTGGAAGAGAGTGCTCGGAGCTATTGTTTGGCCCAACTCCCTCAGGTTGTGGTTGAGGAACCCAGGCTGCCAAGGCCACTCAGAGGTTGGGTCCAGAACTAAGGTTGGTGCAAATGTCATTGCAGGAACTGTCATGGAAAGTAATGGCAAAAACCGCAATTACTTTTGCACCAACCTAAAATAACCAGAAGTCTGTTCCAAGGTCCTAATTGGTGCCTTTGATTACATAACAGAAGAAGAGCATTCAGTATTGGTTTCATCTATCTTTGATGCCCTTTGCTTGCATTTCAACACTCCATCCACAGGAGGCTCCTCCCCAGCATCCTGCTTTCAGCTGGTTGTCATTTAACATCTATAAGATTAGCCAACAAGAAAAATGTTACCTTATAATACTTTCAACACCTTCAAATTCCCTACAAGGAAAAAGTTTCTTACAGGGAACTGTTGTCTTTTAACTGAATCCTATTAACATATTCTGGATGAAGGAAACACACTTTATGAGGAGAGAGTTACATGCAGTCGCGTAGTCTCCTTCTGTAATTGCACTGTGTGTCTTCTCCTTTTTTGTTTGTTTGCTTTTGTTTTAAGGCAGGGTCTCCTTCTGTTGCCCAGGCTGGAGTGCCGTGGTCTGATCATAGCTCACTGCAGCTTCAACCTCCTGGTCTCAAGTGATTCTCGTGCTTCAGCCTCCTTAGTAGCTGGGACTACAGGAGTGTGCCACCATGCCTGGCTAATTTTTCATTTTTTGTAGAGATGGGGGCTCCTCATGTTGCCTAGGCTGGTCTCAAACTCCTGGTCTCAAGCGATCCTCCTTCCTCAGCTCCCAAAATGTTGAGATTACAGGTGTGAGTGACTGGGTTCTGTCTACTTCCAAGGCTGTGCTAAGGAGTAGGAAGGCCTTTGCTGAAATCTCTAATTTACCTCTCACTCACTACTTATATGACCATAGGAAGGTTGCTTAACCTCTCTGAGTCTCAGTAATCCGCTTTGTAAAACATATTATTGATAGCACTTCCTCTGGGGGTAATAAGAATTATATGAATGTGATAGGTAAAGTGACTAAAATAGCTGCTTAATAAATGTTACATCCCTTTCTTTACTCTCTTGGACCCCATGTGAAGGCCCTTTGTGAGGAGGTGCACCTATTACAAACCCATTGCTTAACCTAGTTCCAACTGTATCTTTCACCACATAGCATTTTATTTCTATTTGCACAGGAGGGAATAGAAGTCTAGGGTTAGACAGAATGGCCTGGTTTTTGGCTTAGTTACACTGCCCCCAAGTGTGAGTTCTTAAGGACCTACTGCTAGGGTGACCGAATGTCCTAGTTGTCCTACTTTGCCCAGGACTGAGGGATTTCCAGGACAAGAGACTGTGCTGCTAAAACTAGGAAACTCTCAAGCAAAGTGGGACAAATTGGTCACCCTCCCTGCTGTATCCATATCTAGATAAAGCCTTCATTGCTTTCCTAAAGATAAATGCCTCTGAAATCCCATGCTCATTTCATGATGGAAAAGTAAGAAGAGTGATCATTCTGTGCCTACATAAAAAGGGTGATCTTAATTCAACTGGCAGGGACAGGAAGAATGAGCCTAATATGAAATTGCTGACAACCATTTTAATTTCATTGAAGTGCCAACAATTTTATTTGGGGATGTTTTATTTATGGAAAATTAATCATGATTATTTTTTTGGCCATACAGAGTGTAGCAAAGAATGAAGGATTCCTGAATCAAACTTTTCTGTACTATTTGACTAACTCTCCTATTTATGCAAAATTTCGTTAAGATAGATAGGATTGTGACATCACCAAAAAATTTGATCGCCTGTGCTGCCCCCCCACCCCCCACCCCCACAATCCTAGGGAAGTCCCATCTTTTTGTTCACTGCAGCTGTGAATAATTTCTTGTGTTGCAGATGGGGAGATTTAAGTACAAAAGGGTCTATTTCGTGCCATTGGAGTCACAGCCAGAGAAATGGTTTCACTCCATTTGTGGCTTCTTAAAGACGCTGGAGAAACTCAGAGGTTGTGGTGAGCCAAAATCATGCCATTGCACTCCATCCTGGGCAACAAGAGCGAAACTCTGTCTCAAAAGGAAAAAAAAAAAGGCAGGGTGCAGTGGCTCATGCCTGTAATTACTTTGAGAGGCAAGGTGGGCAGATCATCTGAGGTTGGGAGTTCAAGATCAGCCTGATCAACATGGAGAAACCCCATCTCTATTAAAAATACAAAAATTAGCCAGGCATGGTGGTGGCCCATGCCTGTAATCCCAGCTACTCTGGAGGCAGGAGAATCTCTTGCGGTTTCTTAAAGATGCTGGAGAAACTTGGAGGTTGCAGTGAGCCGCGATCCTGCCATTGCACTTCAGCCTGGGCAACAAGAGTGAAACTCTATCTCAAAATAAAATGCTGGAGAAACTGTAGAATTGCTTATAAACACGGATCTCTTGATAAATGAAGTAGACAATATCTGAGAGTTAAGTACTGTTTTCATATTTCATTTTCAAATCTTCTTATTTTCTGGGTCAATTCCCTCTTCAGACACATAAGTACTGGTAAGGCTGGATAAGTGAGGGAGCATGAATGAGAGATAGTTACACTTTCCTATGTATCTTATGTCAGTGCTTTGGGTAACTTCATTTAAGCTCTTGTATGCCAAGGCAATGTAGACACTAGTGAAAGGGTTCACTTGAGGAACAAAAAGCAAACTGGAAGTACATGACTTCAGCAAATTCTCAGCAGTCAATATTTAAACAGTTCTTATTTACACATACTCAACTGGGGGCCCTGATGATGGGCTAGCAGCCTGTCATTTGCTGACTTGAAAGATTTGTGTAAAGACAATTCTAGTCATCAACAGTAAAGATTAAGATACAGAAAATGCGGTTGGGGATGGATTTGATTTTTCAGAAATACATTACTAAGAAATTGATGTCCTGACTTTGATCAATAACAGAAATACATGTGCATGCTTCTATACCCCTTTATTAAACCTGCTGAACTGGGTCTGGAAAACCAATATCTATTCTAACCACTCAGTGTTAGAAAAGTCTTTCTTAGCCCTGAGTAGGTCCCTGTCAAGCCTGCATGATGCTCCATGTGCCCCAGGATTATCTCTATTCTGGACAGAACCATCTTGGGGTAATAGATCGTCGGAGCCCTAGGCTTGGTTGATGCATTGCTCCAATGTGTCAGAACAACATCTGGCTCAGTTTCTCTACCCCAGAAGCCCAGCAACAACTAACTACTATGATGGATTACAGGTGTGGTACAGCCTATCGCTGTAATACATCAGACATGGCACTCATTTGAAAGTGAATTCATCAAAAGATGGAGTTCTTGCAAGCTCCAAACCCAAGAAAAGGCATCCTGTTTAATTATAGACAGTGTAACTGGCATGAGGGCTGTAACTGTCAAATCGGGGACAGTTTCTAAGATACAATCCACAGTAAGTGGGCATCACTACCAGATGAGGTTTTATTGCTGGTCTGCTTTCTTGAGGTGTGATTCATATCTTCCATCAGCACCCCCACCCCAACCAGAGCAGCCAGACTGCAGTTTGGGCATACTTTTTCATGTGTCTTTGTAAGGACGTTCAAAAGCCATCCCTACTATAAATAACCAGATTCCCTTTGTCCTAAGTTCAAGTGTTCTTACAGTTTCTTTTTCTTCCTGTATAGCTCTTTGCTCCAAATCCCCATAGAACAAAATGGAACTATAAAATGAAAGTGTCTGTGCCATTCTGTGTCTCATTATGTGGTTTAGCTCTTTGGCATCAGTTCATTCCGTTATTCATTTACTAAGACTGATTGTGTATTGAATTTGTTATGATGCTGCAGTTTCATATAATAAAAAATTGAATGGTTAAAATGTAAGGATATTTATTATTTTACATGATGAGATGTTCAGAAAAAGCAGTTCCAGGGTTCAGTGGCTCAGTGAAACCATCAAAGATTCAGGTTCTTTCTGGCTTTATGTTTTATGGTTTTTGTCTTTAGGTGTATTACTTCATGATTGTAGGATGGCTGCTGTAGTTCCAGCCATCACATGTAGACATAATGACCCTGATCAAAGGAAGAGACAGGAGGAGAAACATTCTCTTATATTCTTAAGAGTGTGAAAAGCATTCTTAGAAACTCATAGCAGACTTCCCCTCAAGTTTCACTGGCCAGAATTGTGTCCTTTTACCATGTCCAAGCCACCACTATCAGGAGAATGAGACCACCATGGATGGCAGGTGAAAGCCTGCCTCTCTGCTCCCTGAAGCACACAGATGCTTGGCAAAGGGTGAGTAAAATGGAGATTTTGGAAGCAAGGAAGGAGAGGAGTGATCATTTGCTGTTCAAAATTGATGATGTCTGGCTGCCCTGCCTCTGGAGTAGCCATTCTTTATTCCTTTACTTTCTTAATAAAGTTGCTTTCACTTTACTATATGAATTAGCCTGGAATTCTTTCTTGTGAGAGATTCAAGAACCCTGTCTTGGGGTCTGGATTGGGATTCCTTTCCAGTAACATCTTTCTGGCAACCATGGAAGGGACAACACTGAGAAAACCCCTGAGCTGAAGGCTAACTTTGGGAAGTGGTGGGGTCTGGTAACATCTTTCTGGTGAACCCCAAAGGGATGATACTGAGAAGACCCCCGAACCCAAAGGAAAATCATCTGTGTGCACCAATTGGCCAACCTGGGTAAGTGGGAAGTGGGGTGAATTTATCCAGTAAAGGATGGGATTGGGTTAGAGGCCCAACTTAGGAAGGTTTGAGATTCTCCTGAGACAGAGTGGGTTAAAGGGCCCTCTTAACAAAAGGCAATGACACTTGACCAAACTTGGGTTTAAGGCTCAACTTAGGAAGGTTAGATTCCTAAGATTTAGGGGGTTAGATGCCCCTCTTTGTAAAGTACCTCTCAGTTAAGAATGGGTTTGACACTATAGAATGTAAACTGCTATTCTCGTTGGATTAATCTTCCCTGAACTCTTTGCTGACAGTTTGGGGTGACAGGATTAGGCATGTACAGGATCATGGGACATGGAGAGCTTTTTTTCTCCCCAAAGGAAAACTTGAGAGCTGATGTGACTGCTGGAAAAGACCCCTTTGTGACTGACAAGTGACTGCCTGAACTTTTCAGTATTGCTGGGATGGGTGGCCCTTTCTCTGGCCTTGGTGAGCTGCTTGCCTTCCCCACCCTGCCACAGGCAATGCTTTTCTCTCTCTTTCTCTTTCCTATCTTTTCTGTTAATCAGGGCAATCATCTTGCCCAGAAACCTCAAATTTGAAACTCCTGGTCAGAGGTTGGATTAACAAAGACAGGTCCCAACCAGGGGCAAGTTTGAGCCTTAACAGTTTAATATTGGGTACTAAGCAGGGTGGCTAATGTCCATGTTTTATCACATATATGGCAGAATGGAAAGAGAAAATTTTCCTTTGTGTTGCAGCTTGACCCCCAGAGCTGTGGTGCAGCCAGCTGGGTCACTAGGGCCGCTCAGGGAATGGGAACCCAGAAACTTGGCATGCCAACCAAAGGGTAAGAATTTCTTACCAAATTTCTTACTAGTCAGACTTCTGGGTTGCTCTCTCCTGTCTCTTTGCAAACTGGTTGAATGAACGGTAAAAATCACTATCTCCTCTGTAAAGTTTGACTAATGGAAAAAGGATTTGTGAGGCTAGTCATAAACTGCAGTGAATTTGGTGTGCTTTGTGTGTTTTTCTGTATTGTTCTGTCGTGAACAGGAGTACATGGGCTTAGGACCCATGTACTAAGATACAGCATGGGCTTAGCATCCCATAAGCCCACTATTCAAGACAGCTCAGCAAATTGATTAATCATGTCCTTGGGACCTTGACCTTCTAATTATGTGACCGTACTTTCTCTTGGTCTCTGCCATGACAATGGTGGCCCGGGTTCAGGGTTCAATTCCTGGCTTAGAGAATGAGTCCTTTATCTTCTGTCTCTCTGTGTATGTGTTGTGTGTGTATGTGATATAAAAAGACTTTAATTGGTTTTAAAATAATATTGCTTAAATCAAATATTTTGTCAGAAAACTAAAAAGTATAATGCCCTTTAGCTCAAGTGACATTAGTAATCTTTGGGAAATAAAAACAGTTCTACATGCAATCTGTATAGGGACATTGAAGTCTGTTTTTGGTAAAAGATTATAAGAAGTCATGGGAATGTGGATTTCTTTCTGAAGTTTAGAGGGTCAAAGGATTGTTTTAAGTTAGGAAAAAGCTAAAGGTTTAAATTGAAAAGGGCTTGTGAAGGGTTACTCTTGTAAAAAAATATGTTTACTCTTCTATATGAATGTATTGGCTAAAGGTAAAGTGGTAGAGGTATTATTCAGTTTTTCAGTGAACTGAACATTAACAGCACAACAGGTTTTACTTAGTGCACTGCTCTGCTCTTTAACAAAAATTGTCAAAGTATAGAAGGTTTGTGAAAAGCTTACCTTATGGTCATACTGATTAAATTAAATAGATTTGTCTATAAGATTTTATTAAAAATTAGATAATTAATAGTACACTAATATAAAGGTGAAATTTGGCTTATTTGATATTCAAATCATACAGGAAGCATTGTCAAATGTAAAATGGTGTTTGGCTTTCTTTGGGCTATATTTGTATAAATATGTTATTGGTATGTGTTCTAAAATTATGGAAAATCCTATAATCCTAATATGACATGGTGTGCATGTTATTAATAATGATAATTGTTGTGTAAAATTTTGTATGCCACAGAAGTAACCAAATTTTGTTATCAATTGTTATTTTAATAGTGACTGCCCGGCCAGGTGTGGTGGCTCACGCCTGTAATCCCAGCACTTTGGGAGGCCGAGGCGGGTGAATCACAAGGTCAAGAGATCGAGACCATCCTGGTCAACATGGTGAAACCCTGTCTCTACTAAAAATACAAAAAATTAGCTGGGCACAGTGGTGCGTGCCTGTAATCCCAGTTACTCAGGAGGCTGAGGCAGGAGAATTGCCTGAACCCAGGAGGCAGAGGTTGCGGTGAGCCAAGATCGTGCCATTGCACTCCAGCCTGGGTAAGAAGAGCGAAACTCCATCTCAAAAAAAAAAAAAAAAAATAGTGACTGCCCTAAATAACTTATTTAGTGCCTTTGCTTCTGTTAATACAATAGAAAGTCATATGGATAAAAATCTACTTTTTCATATGGATAAATTTCTAATTTTTATTATCCACAAAAATTGTCTTATTTTAATCTTCTTCAAAATGTAGTCTATAATCAGGTACAGGAATTTGACAGATGCTCTTAAATACAGGTTTCTTTGGAGATTGTGACATTAGAATAGGGACAAAACTTTCAGAACTCTCAGGGAGAGCTGGAATGTTTATAAATATCAAAGAGAACAGGAATAAACTGCATGGACTGAATGAATAGAGGAGTAAAGTAATCTTTTTAACTTTGCTTAAAACATTGCTGATTGTTTGTTTTATTTTTCAGAGTCAAGGAAACTTTTCTTTTGAGCTATTTGCAACTTTTAATACTTGAGTAAATTAGACTCCTGTGAACATTTAGAGCATATTTGTTTCTCTCTACCTGATTTCTCTAGAATTTGGAAACTATTTGTGAGTATTCTTAACTTATGGCAATATAGTTTTTTGCATAAGTGCAATAATCTGTTTTCTTTTGCCACGGGACACAATTGGAGAAACTGGTTATTTTACCAAGGCTTTGATTGGAATAATGTGTTTCCTTTAAGGGATCAAACTTGACTTCTAAAGCCAATAATAGCCCCTTGGGAAAACTGGCCCCATACCTTGTCTACACAGTCTCTGTACAAGCTTCCTGACCAATGGTAACTAAAGAATGTCATTTTATGACAGGCCCAGGAGCCCCAAGTTATCTTGGGACCTCAAGAGGAGAGGAATTCATTCAACTCACAGGTATTTGAGGGTGCAAATTCATGGCAGGGCTCAGCTTTAAATAGTCTTATCTCAGATTCTGTTCTAAGGAACAGAGTTCCATCAAAGCCAATTTGAAAAGAGCTTATGTGAAAAATAATTATTCTTGCTGCACTTTATACAAAGAATCAAGTCAAGTGTAGGACTAAGGCTTCCTTTTGCAAATTGGTCTTACCATGACTTGTCTTTAGTAAAAATGGGAAACTGGAGAGAGGAAAAAAATTATGTTTCAAAAACTATGGTATACCTGTTATTAAATGTTAGTCTTATCTGTTGTTTTAAAGTTTTTTTTCCTACAATTTAGATGAACTGATTATTCCTGTAAACCAATCAGTGATCTCTGACTGCAGCAGCTTAGAAGAAACAGGAGGGATGGGTAATGTAAAAATCTGGATCAATATTCTAATTCTGGACACATATTGGAACCTACTAGCAATCCCATAGCAGCTTGCTTTCCAATAATTTCCCAGTTCAGGGAAAGCCTTCTTATTTCTTGGAATAATTTTATTAATTTTGCTTTACTGTTGTAGAAGAAATTGCTTTGTACTTTTGGTGTAGCAATGCAGAATGAGCTCACCTAAATGATCCTTAAATTGAATATGTATTAATCTTGCAGATACCACCTTCTTTTGGAACTCAAGAACTGTGAGTGGCCCTCACCATAGTGATTGATGCTTTCTGGCTGAGCTCCTCTCCACCCTAATTACAGGAGACCCTAATAGTTAGGCAGGAATATCATCACCCCCATTCATCATGAAGAAGTTGCAGAAGATAGATCTTTATTCCTCTGCAACCCTTAGGATTAAGGATTCTCTTATAAAAGTGAGGGGGGAAAATATCAGAGGTGTTTGAGCCACAGCTCCTCCACCATGAATAGGGGCTAGGTAAAATGAGGCTGAAACCTGCTTGGCTGAAATCCCAGATGGTTAGGCCTTCTAAGTCACTGGATAAGATAGGATGTTGACACCAGACAGATTTCATAAATACCT